ATTATTTCGCTGTTTTTCAGAAAAAAACACTTTTGAGCATTTAAGTAGTGCAAATGACACTATAACACATATCACAAATATATATCACAAATATTCACTGAACAGGACTGAAACTCGAATATGTATGTGTGTTTGCTATAGTTTTCTAGCTGTCATAATTCACAACTGATCAAGATGCCTTGTATGTGGCTGTATCTTTTTTGGGCACACTAACAATTTTCAGTTTAAGAAATGGAAATGATTCATTCTTGATTCCTTATGCATGTATTGGTCAAATAGAAAGCTAATGTCTGCATCAGATAGAAACAAAAAGCAAACACACGCACATGCACACACATGTACACACATACATGTACACACACACACACACACACACACACACACAAAGTTTTTTTTTTTTTCCCTTTGGTCCTAAAGTTAATGAATGATATATTAGTCTTAGAGGTCCATGAAGTCTTCTGGGAAGGAAAGAAATAAATCATGACGACAGTACTGTAAAATCTCTTCATGTTAGTCTGAGAAGTTTCTATTAAAATAAGAATTGTGTCTAAAATAAGAATTGCCTTGTTGTATTATGTATACTGCATAATAGGGGAGAGATATATGAGTATGTGTAGAGTTTTCATGTAATTGAATTTAATTAGTATTATCTTGAATAAAAACAGATAAATCATAAAATCCACAAGCAGCTAGAAATGTATTGTACACAGGAACATTTAAAGAATACATTCCATTGATATAATAGAAAAGATAATATGTACAGACTGTGTTGACATTGATTATTATTGATGAAAAATCTATTAGGAAGTGATTTTTATTAGGAAGACAAAGTGACTGATGCCAATAATTTGTTAATGAATACTATTAGACTTTAGAATAACCCATTGATTTCGACCATGGCTGTCTGCTACAGGTATAAAAAGAAAGGATTTAGATGGTCAGTAGATGAAGTCAGGATCAGGTCTCTAAGAAGACAGACAGTAAAGAGATTTGAGCACTTTTATTTGTTATAAATATTATAATATTATAGAGATATCTAGATCAATAAGAACCACACTTCAGTTCTTTGAAAAGTGAATGCCATGTATTTAACTGAATCCTGAACAGAATTTTCTATTTGTTATGATTATGACAGATGAGTGACACTGAGTTTTTTAAAGTTCTTTTTACTTGTTCCAAAAAAATGGATATAATTTCTTTCAAAACAAGCTAAAAATTTATATTTAGTATTCTGTCCTCTGAAGGAAAAACCATGTAAAATCATTTCTGACGAGTCCTATTCTCAGTGGTTCTGTTTTCATTTACAGTTCTATTTACACAAATTAAATATGTGTTCTCAGTGATCTCCTGTTGGAATTCTAGATGATTTAGCTTTTGCTTATTTCATTTTTTCCTTTGTGAAACTGTATTTGTGGTAGGCAGAGGTCTTCTGACAGTAATTCTATTTACTTTATAAGGAGCTAAAAAAGGCATCTTTTTTTATATGATGTTTCATTCTGTCTGTGTGAGGAAAAAAGGTAAATATTGTAGAGAATTTCAGCTTTGTAAAAAGATTTCGTCACATAAGTGTACTAATTTTCTGTATTTGATCACACTAATTATATTTCAGAGTGATAAATGGATATGTGATAAGATTAGTCTGACACTTTCTTGATAGAATATACTCTTGATAGGCTTTGAATTCTCTGTGAAATGTTTTTGCAGCATCAGAATTGTGTAATATGGATTTGCGTTGTTGTATTGAACCAATTTCACCTCTGATACAGTTGTTCTGACAACTGTTACTTCACAGAAACCATAGTCTTCCTGATTACTTAACAGCAAAAAGTGTCTGAAATCCTGAGTCCTGTTTTTCAATATAATGGGGAAAAATCTAAATTTTCTTTTTAATGAACAAACAAAAGAATATCATACTTCTGAGGATTTTCATAAACAAAACTTAAGTGCAAAGTTTAGACATTTCTGTCTGTAGAATCAACATTTTTAATGTAGTATTTTCCTACCAAAGAACTCTAGCCATAAAAAGAAGATATCCATTTTACTTGGTGCATGGAAAAACTGGGTGGTGTTTGGAAGAGGAATGATTATTGGCACAAACAGAGGAAGTTATAAATCTTCAGATCATACACAGGACAGATTGGAACAATACAAACTCTCCAAGTTTTCTAAGTTTATGCACCAAATAACTCTCTCTGGGCAAGTAGGAAATCTGTTTTTGGTTTCTTCTAAGCAAAAATATTACTTATGGTGAAAAGAGTTTGTTTGTTTGTTTTTCTGTGGGAATTTTCAACCAAAAATTAATGTATCTCATCAGAAAATATTGTTTGAAAACCAGGAAAGTTTTTTTTAGAAATCACTATTTAGAATGCTTTTTTGGGCTGTACAGCAAGGACGAGAGTTGATACCAAAGTAGCCCAAAATCAGAGTAGTAATTAGTGCACATGGTAAAAATACCTTCTGTCACTTTCAAAAGAATTAGTACGGATGCTCATGTGCAAATGTATTTAACGGGGAAAAAAAAAAGTTTTATTTTTCCTAGATCAGATTATATGAAACAACACTGATTGAGAATCATAAGAAATAATAATTGTACCCAATACATTTGCTTTTAGTAGCAGATGTTTTGAGTAAATGTCTTCTGGAGGTCTTTTCCAACTCCATTTAATCTGTATTATTAGAAAACCTATGCTGTGTCAGGAATACAGCTCCGTATTTTCTGTCCATTATTTATCATTTTCTTGACTCTAGATAGGCTCACATTCAGAAAAAGTTCTGAATAGCGCTGGAGAACTAGTATAATATAGTGTACCAATCTCAGTCTGTTCAGAATTTAACTCTAGTAAGGTACTAAGATTTTGAACATCTTTTCAGAATCTGAACTTGAGAATTTCTGGTAAATTTAATCTATTGGATGGAAATTCATCCATTTGGTAAGGAGGGAATCTAATCTACCATCTTCTGGCTGAACTGTGCGCTCAATGCATGCACACACAGTTCCAGCAGCTCAGATGATCAACCCCTTAGGAAAACTGAGGAAGACTGCTCAGAATGGGAATGCAGGTAGGGATTTATGCAGCCTAAGGGCTGCTTCAATTTTGCCAAGCTGCAAATGTCCCAGATGAAATCTCTGAGGGACCCTTTGCACTAAAAAGGGATGAACTAAAATATTTTTATTTCATTTTGTTTTCTGTTATTGTACTTACTGTCTTATATTACAGAAAAGCAATTAGGGATTGTTTAGTCTGAGAACTCAACTGCATTTTGTACACAGTAGATGAAAAGCTTAGATAAAAATTGAACAAAATTTTTGGTGAAGCTGAAGCAGACAGTCCAGGTAGCTAGTTTATCAATAAAAGATCATAGTAGTAAGTCATGTTAAAATTTCATGTCATTATGTATTCCTTGCCTATTAAAAGGAATGAAACAATTCTTTTAGTTACTGTTTCTAAAACTGCCTATGAAGTGTAGTGATGTCACTAAGAAATCTTATAAAAGGAGAGTTCAAGGTTATCATATTTCTAAACAAACTTTAAAACTACCCTACACTATTTGTAAAGGTGGTACTAATAGAACAATATCATAAAGTGTACTGGACTGGAATAATACAGTTTCATTTTCCTAGTGACCTGAACCACTGCAAAGTAACAGTACATAATGTTTCTATTGTTCACCATATGGAGCATGTTGTTGATTTATTCTTTTTTCTGTGTCATTCTTTTTTCCAATGAATTCCATGCACCTTTCACACACATCACATCAAGCTCCTAATTATGAAGCAAGTGCAGGCCCATTATATTAGTAATCATTGCTGCCACCTATTATTAGTTGCTTCCAGCCAATGAGATTGCTCTATTACTCAGTTGTTCACAAAATAGTTTTTATGTAATGGTGACTGGGATAGTCTAATTTTTACTGTTAGAATACTTTGCTTCATATTTGGCAGCAAAATTTGGACAATTTTGTGAAATTTTGCATTTGAAACATTTGTTTATAGACTATATGACTATAATGAATCTGGCTTTCTTTCTCTTAGTTCAGCAATTGCAACTGGATCACCTTGTCTGTCTTCTGTAAGCAATGTGATTATTGGAAGTATTAGTATTAGGCATGTAAAAATCACAGTCTATCATAAAATAGTAAGGGTAAAGAAGGTTGGGTTAAGTTCATTCCATGAAGAAAATTGTGAGACAGCATAGGATATCCTTATCAGAAAATGTATTTTGCTTTACAGTGGTAGAGGAACAATGATCCATTAAGTCAGGAATTGCGCAGTTTCCTTCTTATTTAAAATGTATAATTCAAGAAGGTGTGTGTAGGTATGTGCTTTCCTCTTACAAGTCATCTATTCAGGTAAATCTGTTTGGTACAAATGAAAAACTGTGAAACAGAAGGAACCTATGTGAAATCTTAGTGTGTGCAAGCTGGAATGATACATTTCTATAATGTATCAAATAATAAGTTCTTATTTCACAGTACATGCCATGTAGGTGTTAATATAGGAGAAAGATTCTTCTTTTACTGACAGTTTTTATTGACAAGCTTTGCACTGCCTTCAGTGATATAATTCTCTGGTTTCATGGAAAAATGTAGAATAATTTTAGGGAGATTTATTGCCTTATTACATCGTAAAACAAAAAATTTAAACTGATAATTTCAGCAGAAAAGTTTTAAATGCAGATGAAAATCTGTGAAATAAGAGAAATATGATTTTGAAAGGGACTGATCAATACGGTGTATAAACATCTGTATAAATTATGTGTCTTGTTAAATGTGCACTTAACCAAAGACTGTAGTCTTTGCAGGTGAGAATGTAAATGTATTTTGAATTGCAAAACCTCTTTTGGAATTGATGTTTTACTTTTTTAGGTTCATGGAATAGGTGTTAGAGAGACATCATGAAAACTAATACTCTTTCTTGGGCAATAAATTACCATTTTCTTCTTTATTTGCTTGCTTGTTTTACTTTCTTTGCAAGATTAACTCTCATTTTTCTGTAACAGGCACATAGTTGTCTGTGGTCATATAACACTTGAAAGCGTGTCCAACTTCCTGAAGGACTTCCTGCACAAGGATAGGGATGATGTCAACGTAGAAATCGTCTTTCTGCATAAGTGAGTAATCTTTCAAAATAAGCCATCTTGTATATTATGAAAACTTATTGAATTAACGTATGTACCTTTGGGGAAAATATAGGATTTTCCAATGTCCAAGTGATTGTTAAGTTAATGTATACCATTTCGTTTTTTCCACTGGCATAAGTTATTTTGAGAAAAAGAGTGTTTTTTGCAGTTATTTTATAATCCATTTTTAAGCACAGTAGTATGGGTATTTCAAGAAAATAGATTTCAGAGCCAGTCATATAAGTTGTGATGTAGAATATCTTAAGACATATCTAAAATGAGAAGGGAATTACAAAATTTAAAAAAAAAAAAAAAAAAAAAAAAAAAAGTTCTCATAAATAGACATGAGAGTTTTTTTAAGTGGCAAATATTTCTAGTGAAACAGGCACAATTGGTAAAACAAGTAAAAGTAGTGAAAACCAGTGAATGGTATGAAATTATGGCATCTGAAAACACCTGTTTTCATTTCATTAGGAAAAATGATTTTGCACTGTAAAATATTTACAGAACAAAAATGCAGATGAAAATATAGTTTTAATATGAAAATGACGCAGTACTTGATAGCGAAGGTAGAAAGTAAATTCTCATCACTATAATAGTTGGTACTGTTCTTTTACCCAAATATACCCACAGACACAGTCTCTTAAATTTTTTTTTATGTGGGATTTGGAAAGGTGTTTGAAGGTGGACATTGATAGTTGCAGCCTCTGCATTGCAAGTGATGCAACATGGAGTCTCCCTATGGGAGAACCTGTTAGAAATAGCCATGTGCTCAAAAGAGTGACAGTGTAAGTAGTCTTTTCTGATCTGGAATAGCACCTGTTTCGATGTGCCAAAAGCTATGAATAAGTGATGTTTTTGCATTTAGCAACAAGTTCTGCACTTTTCTTCTTTTCAAAGAAGAATAATTATAGAATCAAAGAATAAATAATTACTAATGATTCAACAAACTAATAATCAGCTCTTGCACTTTTTTTTTTTTTTTTTTGTTTTAATATTCATTCCTTTAAAACTAGACTAGACATGTTATCCTTGAGGAACAGCATTGTTTCTTATTTCCCCTTTCTTAAGTAGTAATGGGAATTGACTTTGAGAGGAAAGTAAAGATTCAGATTTCCACAGTGAAAATGCATGGTGACATGAAAAGGGAGACTGCAAATGCATGTGAAGAGAGTTCAGCACCTGGTTACTTGTTTGTGCCTGTTTTTGGTATTTTTCTGTTTGTTTGTTTGTTTTTGTTATGTTTTTGTTTTTCCTGTGCTGTCATGGGCAAATATTTGTGTTTACTTGTTTTATTTTCTTACTAATTTAGCATTTTGCGTCAGAAATTTCTCAGGCTGTGGTTACGTAGCTATTGAATCCACTTGTTCTATTTGGTCATGTTTATGGCAAAATGAAATGAGATTAAGCCAGAGAAAAATTAGGTTTGTTTTAATTCCAGCTCATATAGGCATCAAGGGATCCTTACAGGATTCCTTCCCTGGCTTGTAATTATTTCCCATTGACCTCTTTTATTTGTTGCAGTCAGCTGTTTAGCCAGCAGTAGGTATGTGCAGGGGATGATTGCCTTAATAGAAAAGTTTTGTGGAAAATACTTCCTCCATAGAGAGGATGTTTTCAGATGTTTGCATCACTGTTTCTAGATTCACCTCTTTAAGAAAGTGACATAAGCATACAGAGCACAGTTAATCAGACCAGATGTTCTCTAGATAGAAGTAGGGAAGTGTAAGCAGTGTAGTATTTGTTTAAGTACTGTATATTCTTTCCACAGCACAGGAAAAGCAGTGAAAATGCAAAATGTATAAATAAATAAAAATAAATAAACGAGTCAGTTTATAAATAAAAGAAGAAAATGAAATTGTTGTGGAAAAAAGTGGCCTTTCATTTGTTTTTGTATTTTCTTCCTCTTCTCAATGCAGTATCTCCCCTAACCTTGAGCTGGAAGCTCTTTTTAAACGACACTTCACTCAGGTGGAATTTTATCAGGGTTCAGTCCTCAATCCCCATGACCTGGCAAGAGTAAAGGTAATATTTCTTCTGTTCTGTTAACTGACTTCAACTTAAGTACTCATTGCATTATTTGATTAAAACAAAAATAATTTAAGTAACAGTCGCATTCTACAGGTAAACTCAAAACACTGTTTTTCCATTTCTATTAGCTTATGTAATAAATTACAATGTTTATCCTTCTAGATATTATTTTCCTTGTATCTTTAGATTTACAAAGCTACAGTACCACTATGACTTAAGATACATTATTTCCTATTCTATTGAACTCTATGAATTTTTCATTGGATTTTAGTCATGTCTATTTAATGCTTCATATAGTAGATCGTTGTCTCATGGCAATTACTTAAAATACTATTATCTTATCTTCATCAATACAATTAGAAAATTATTTTTCACCTGTCAAATCCTTTTCCCATTGTCTAGAATCCTGATAAAAACGCAACTTAAGAAACTTATTAGTTAAAATGAGATATATGTATTGTCTTTGTTGTAAATTATTTTATACTCTTAAAAAAGTATGAAGTTTAAAGGAAATAAATGGCAAGGTGTCATTTCATGTTCTTTTCTTTTTCTCTTTTTATTTTTTTTCTTTTTTCTTTTCTTTTTTCTAAATAAAATGTAACTTATTTTGGCCAAATAGATTTTAATGCAATATCAGCACTTTCTAGGTTATCATCATGTTTTCTATGCATTTTGGCTTTCAAATTGCTTAACACTTTGTAGTCCATCACAATTTGTATCTCAGTTCAGCAGAACAGAATTTTTTTTTAAATGCTTTATGTTAAATAGGGTTAAGGTTGTGTGAACGTAGAGGTCCTCTGAACAGATTAATTCTTTACTCATGCTGTCTGAAAATTCATGCTCTGAATCATAAGTTCAAACATCTCCTCCTTTCTTTAACAAGAAAGTACTTACATTCTCAAACAAACTGCAGGACTTGTGTGTGTAGTGTACTAATATAACAAGCTTTTTATGGATTTAGAGGTCTAAAATTCAATACCTGCTTACGAAAGAAACATCTGTTAAAACCTTCTTGCTTTTAGCCTATACAAAGTAGTAATCAGGTAATTAAACTAGCAAACTGGTCTGAGGAAGCTTCACAAAATTACTGTGCATGTGTGAAGCTGTTGCCCAGCAGCTATAAAATCTTGAAAATTTTATCAGTACTGTAAACTGATATTCGTGCCTATGATAGGAGTGCTGTACTTTCTAATACTTTATGATGAATGAAAAGTTGGAAAAAGAGGTTGCTATTTATGTTTGCTGTGTTTTTTGGTGTCTCAGATAGAGTCAGCAGATGCGTGCCTAATTCTTGCCAATAAATACTGCGCTGACCCAGATGCTGAGGATGCCTCCAATATTATGAGGTAAACTCATTGTTTTTTAATAGGTTTTGTATTCTTAACTCTGATTAGCCAAATTCTGGTATCCAGATAGTCCATAGCCACACACCAATTTATAGCTGATCTGTTGGACTTGAAGAGCATCACAAGATTTTCTTTAGAAGGCAGATTATAAGATTGCCTCAGAAGCTCAGAGATGAGGATGCTCTTAAGTTCCTTTTCTAATTTAGCTGCTTTAGAAGCAGCATATGAGAAGAGAAAATGTCAAGAGAACAAACTAGACCAAAAGTGAAATTTTGAATCAGAATATTTGTTTGGAACTTTGTGTATTGGCCATTTTTACTCATTTAGAGTATCTTTTCATATTCAGATATGTTGATTGCTTTTCTTCCAACACAGTTCCAGTGTAATTGTATGAACTACTAACAATTTCTGTATTCCTCTCTGTTAAGTCAATGAAGTTTGATTTTCTCTTTTTCAGAAACTGCCTTTAAATCTCTATTTTCATGGCGTAGGAGATGCTTTCTAAAAATTCATCCTTTCAAAAGGGACATGAGAGCTCTAGGTAGCACCTTTTCTGTTTCTTTGTTATAATTGCTTACAGACCACTTTACAGAGTACTTTACAGTTCTCAAAGGGCATCCAAAATAGAATCAGCTGCATTTATTTGGCTTGTGATTACTGTTGCTCCAACACAGTAATTTATTAATGTTCTCCAAGTCCACTGCTTGGCACTATCTCTTGGATCTTCACTGGTCACTGCACTAATTACTTCAGAATGCAGTTTGTCTAGACGTTGTGGAGAGGATGACAAGCCGTGTGATCATTTCATAGGTCTTAGCATTGAAGTATTCATAGCTGCACAAAGGACCAACAGAATTGCATGTCCTTTCCCCTCATTTAATTATGCCGTGGCAACAATATGTCACAAAAATATATGCCCTGCAAAGGCTGGTGTTGATCATGAGACAGAAGGACTTTCAATCGCCTCATACCTTATTGCTCCTCAGTAAATCTGCTACTACAAGTAATTACTTAGCTTGGTGAAAGTGACGTATACACTTCATGATGGAAACTATACAATAGTCTCCTAGCTCCATGCTCATTTTTAACACTTAAGACGAATGATGCTTATGTTAATTGACAGAGCATTTACAACATTAGGAACTACCAAAGCTTTGTCCTGTTTTCCTCCTCCTATTCTGTGAAGGAAGGTCAAAGGCTCAGTTAGCGGATGGGCATCTAGAGTTACAGTAAAAATAACCCTTTTTTTTTTTTATTTTCCTTCCCTGCCCCCCGTCCCCCTCCTAATCATAGTATTAATGAGACCAGTCTTCTTGTTTTCTAAAATCAAATGTCAAGGATTTGTCAAAAATTCTCTAACATGGAACTGATCATTGCAATTAAACAATTTTATTGGTCTGTCAGATATTTGCATTCCATGAGTTAAAGAAAAAGGAGAAAAAAAATTAAATGATAATGCTACTCCACCTTTGGCAAAGTTCACTGTGAACAAGAGATTTGGGTGTATATGGAAGGAGCAGGTCTTACAGAATTGTTAAGGTTAGAAAAGAACTCTAATATCATCTAGTCCAACAATCAATCTGTCATCACATGCTGTTAAACCATGTCCCTATGTGCTACATCTACATGTTTTTTCAACACCTCCAGGGATGGTGACTCCATCACTTCTCTGTTACATGCATAGCCTGTTCCAATGCCTAATTTCATTTTTCTGTTTCAATGCAAAAATCATTTTTAGTTTTCATTGCATAAATGCATTAAAAGACTTTCAGTTGCAGATTAGTGCATTCTTAAAACATTTACTACTTTTAATCTAATAAAAAGCAGAGCTTTTATTTCAGAACTAAAATTCTCATGCATTTTCTTGTATTTAAGTGAATTTAATTCAATAAAATTGAATGTTTAGTTAAATTCAGTAAGAATTCAATTCAGTAAGAATTGAAAAAATACTAGGAAGAGTTGGTTTTCCCTCTGAAAATAAAGTATAAATTGAAATTGTCCATATATTTTTTTAAATCCATATAATGACCTAGTTTTTGTATACTTGAAGCTCAAGCAAAACCAGAATTTTGCAAGATGTTTCCTACAGAACACCGCTGTAAACAGTTGTGGCATTGAGAATCTTATGAGTCTGATGACTCTAAAGTAATTGACATTATTTTCCCTTTTGATTGTTTTCTTTTTTTACTTCAATTTGTTCTTACAGAACTGACTTTTTTTTTGTTTGCTTCTGTCTTTGATTTTGCTGAACAGGTTTTTTTTTTCATTTTTAATTGTATATTCTTCACTTCATATCACACTATCTGTTACTCAGTTCTAAATAATTACTCTTTCAATTCATTTTTGATGGACAAACAACAGAATATATGTTAACCTATTTTAATAATGAAGAATAGAGTCCAGTTGCAAATTATGGGAGTAGCCATATGTTTTTTAAATTTTGACTTCAGAAATCAGTTTCAGTATTGAGCTTTGACAAAATCCAGAAAAAATGAAGATGAATTTGCACTTGAATTGATATAAAATAGAATTATTACTCAAGCTGTTTAAATATGATAAATGTCTAGCAACAGTAAAAAAAATAATAAGGGAGAAAGGAGATGAAAGAAAATTGTTTTAGACATATGTCATTGGAAAACTCAAGCAATTATATTGATTCAAAGAAACAATTACTAAAGATGACAATAATTAGAAGTATATTATTTGTTTAATGTAATGAGTAGGGTATCTTGAACAGAGCTGCTAAAACAAAAGTTTTTTTTTTCCTTCAAATTCCCTAAGGATACCATTCAACAAAGTAATTCCTGAAATTCAGTGTTCTCTAGTATTACCTGGTGATTATTAACTGAATTTGAATATATGCAGAGACTACATAGGTTTGACTTCAATCACTATGCTTTACAGACAAATAAATAAAAGAATACAGTTTTATCTGTGGGACGTGACAACACAGTGAAGTAGAGGTACTGGGATACGTGATCCAAATATCCTACTAGCTAAAATGCTATTTTAATTGTTGTTTTCTTTTTCTTTTACTTTTAGAGTTATTTCAATAAAGAATTATCATCCGAAGATAAGAATTATCACTCAGATGTTGCAGTATCACAATAAGGTGATGTGATAACTATTAGTGTCTCTTTCTGCAATTTGTTTTGCTACATTGCACTCATGAACAATTTTTTTCTAGCGTCACTAATAATAAGCATTTTTATTTCCTAACATGAACACCCTAGTAAACCTTGTCACGTAGTCCTGTAACTAGTTAATTCAGTGTTACTTATATATGCAAGGGACCTTATCAAAATCTCTGATATTTATCAACCATCTTGGATATAATTCTCAAAGCTACAGAGTTTGTTGTTGCTATTGATTCCAGATGAGCTTTTAACCAGTCAGCATCCATAAATTTTGCCAATTTTATTGCACTACAGCATGAGTGTCCAAATTTTTGGCTTGCCTGAGCTGCAAGAGGAATTGTCTAGGGCCACATCTATGGAGGCTGCTCTGAAAGAAATGCCTTCTATTTATTTCCATAGGAAAAACAATTGATGCAAAGAGCACAATAACAATATTTAGTAGAGCAAATTCTCAGCTACAAACCACTCTTCAATATGGCTACCATCATTAGCTATGCATTTTCACCAGCAAGGAACAAGAGTCTCCATGCTGCACTCAGAAAAATATTCACTAGTGTAGGTGACACACAGTTGCTGCCCTGCAGTGCACAACCCACAGCTTCACGGTGCTCACATCCACTAATCTCCAGAGATGTTAAGTAACCATTAATTAATGTCAGTGAATGGCATTATTCCCACGTGCAGGAATTGAGTGACACACTTTTGCTTCATATGTATTCCCATGACAGATACCATTTAGTTAGACTGCCCCTGTGCTGCCACCTCTCTCATGGTAGGAAAATTTAATGGAATATTGTCTGGGAGGTTCAACCTCTACTGCTGTGCCTCTGCCTTTAATATCATGAACCAACATCATAAAATAGTATGCATTACTTTCAGAGGAGCCCTCATAAGCTATAAAGTATAGTTAATGTATATAAGTAACAAAATTTTATTTAATTTTTAATGTTTTTTTTTGTTTGTTTGTTTGTTTTTTTAATTAAAACATATAGAAAAAGAGCAGCAAACATGTAAAACTTGTAGGATATATGACCTTGCTTTTGTAAAACTAATACATCAGTCTGGTTTGATGGCAGCGGTTGCAATTCTCAGAGAGATCTCAAGGTGTGCATCAGAGATTTTTGATGAAATTTTCTGTACTTTGCCCTTCACAACAATTGGTCGCATATGTACATTCTGCCAAAAAACAATGATGTGAATACTGTGTTATTATGAAGGGAGGGATGTTTCTCTCTTGTACAAGGGGGCTTATAAAGCTCTGAGATGTAATCATGTTTTTGACTGCAACTCCGTACGTTCCATTTGAAAATTTGCAAGTTATATATTTATGTTGACAGAAAATTGACTGAGAAATAAGCCAAAAAATTGTGGGTTTTTTTTTTTTTTTTTTTTTTCCAATCTTGAAACCTATTCTCAAATTCCTGTATCACAATGGCAACAAATGCACATTTCTCTGGTCACAGGACTGTGTTTAGCCATTGTATAAAAATCCTTAAAAATATTTGCCATAATTTAACGCTGCACTGCACCCCATGGCCTGGTTTGAGCCTAGATGGGGTTAATAGCAGACTGATATTTGGTTAATGCTGAGGAGCAGTTGCAGGCCTTGGGCAGAGCCACAGCCATGATGGCATAGAGCAGGAGACAGGCCACAGTGCAAGCTATGCCAGGCTACTTTTGGCCTGTGGGCTGCAGATTGTGCATGCCTGCACTAAAGCTACCCAAGATAAATTGGTGGCTTCTAGGCAACTCAAGTGAAGTCATTTCTTTGTGGATAGCTACAAAAACATGTATTCTATTATTGGCCATTTATTGTGATTTTGAATTAAATGACAATGTAGACCAGTAATTGCCAAATGGGAAGGAGAAAATAAACAACACTAAGGTGAAAATTAAGGCTCACTCAGATGTAAGTATGGATATACTAATATATGTAGTATATCCTACATATATTCACAGGCATATATGTAGGATATGACTTGAGAAATGTGTAAGTTGACTATAATAAAAATATGCATTAAAGATTGTTACACTTCCTAGCATAAAGTTAAATTTTAAGATTTTTGAAATAAATTTTCCTATTCAGAAAATGTTTAGCCAATAACAAAAGCATTTACTGCTATCTCCTCCCATACTGTATTCTATTTGCAGAAATATTTCTGCTTCTTCACTTTCTGGGTTTTTATGTATTTATTTATTTGTTTGTTTTATAGGCTCATCTGTTAAATATTCCAAGCTGGAACTGGAAAGAAGGGGATGATGCAATCTGTCTCGCTGAGCTCAAGCTGGGTTTCATAGCTCAGAGTTGCCTGGCACCAGGCCTTTCAACAATGTTAGCCAACCTCTTTTCCATGAGATCATTCATAAAGGTAATGTCTTGTCATATTAGAGTATGTTAAGTCTGCAATTCAGTTTGTCAGAGAGCTGAGTAGAGAATATGGCTCAAATGTAAAACAGATAGAAACATATTAATAGCTTTTGCAACACAAACAAACAAATAGAAATAAACAGCTTACCTACAGAAGATTTATTCAGCAAATGGGGAAATCAGCCAGGTTCTGCCAAAGTTATATTCTTATTTGACAAGTGTTTGGCCATTAAAAGTGTCATTCATTTCTTGGAGGATATTTCTGGTCTTATGTGTTGTTTTAAAGAAACCATGTGTTTATTTAAAAGGAAATCCCCTGCTGCTAAAACAAATATATGATTTATATATGTCCCATACAGTAAAAAAGTGTCCAGAAGAAAGGACTGATCATTTTGGTCTTTTACATTAAGTTGTTAGTAGACCTCTGACTGTGACAATAAATAAAGAACATATGTTAGAGCTGAAGCCTAAACTTCCTTCAACATCATTTGTGTATTTGTTTCTCCTCATCCAAATAACTTTTCAGACTGAAATGGCAAAATTTTAACCCTGTTATTCCTACACTTCTGAGGCAGTCATACTAGTTCTCTGGACAAAGGCTCTGACTGTAGCAGTCAGTGCTTCTTTTCATGTACTTCCTTCCTAATTCTTGGGCATTAATTCCAAACATCAAAGATGCATTATTTCCAACCTCATGAGTGTTCATAACAGGACAGGCAGCACTGGAGTCACAAGGTAGGACATAGTTCACTTCAAGTTCATTGTGTAAGTTAGCAAAAAAGATCCCCACCAGAAACCGTGCCTTAAAAACCACACAAGAAAGCAACCAAAAAACTCACAAAGCCTAATATTATCATGTGAGAAGCCAGGAATATTCCTGTAGGGATGCACAGACATACAGCAGAGAGTCTTCTCAGAAAATTGTGAAATTTTTATTAAGATATCCTTTAGAATCCTTTCCAAAAACTGAGACCACAGATTCTTATGTGTCATAAATATTCCAGATTATTATATTCAGTTGAAAAAATTGCCTGTTTTCTGGACAAAAATAAATCCTGTCTCTTCACTTTTATGTCTGTAGTTAAACTTCTTGTATCTCTACTCATGTTCAGGTAACAAAAGCTGTTTTATTTCAGTAAAGCCAAATTTGGGAACTACCTAAGATTCATATATAAGATAATCTTGTAATAATTTCAGTACATTGACAAATCAGACTATCTCAGTGAAAACAGTTCTGAGCTGAAAACTGAGCTTTTAAAGGCACTTTACCCCTTCACTAAGGTAGAAACCATCATATTGATTATGAATATTTCTATATTTGTAGAACAAATAGAAAAATAGCAAAAAGTTTGTTTTAGAAGAAGAAATTAATGCCAGTTTTGCTGACATGCTCATTTACATCAATATACAGAGTTAGAGTAGGGTACAGATAATTAAATTAGGTTACTTTACATGGCACAGAAGAAATACTGTAAAATGCTGGGTAGACTGTGCTATTATTGGTTATAAGTCTGTCTACTACTTAACTAAGAATGAATTGTCCAGGAAACTAAAATGGATATCATCATTTTTGAGAAGGTTTGAGTGTTAAAATCTGAAACAGAATGAATGTCCAACAACAGAGTACATACGTCTTTCCATGGGAATCCAAATCAACTAGTGATAGTAGAAGGTTTATTACTTCACTTAACTGAAAGGATGCTCTTTGTGCAAGCTATCTCACTCTAAAAACTATTTGAAAGAGACAGCTATTACTAAGTGGTGTTTGTGAATCAAGAGGGTATTGTAGAAGAGCAGCTACCCTGATCGGAATTGTTAAGTACGACTCCTTTGAAAAGAAAGATGTGCATTTCCTAAGAGGACTTCTGCTCCTTTGCGTTTGGAGCTCTGAATTTAAGTATGTCAGAGCCTCCTAAATTTCTTGGGCAAATGTTAGTTGAGTCTAACACAAGTTAGGAGATTGCCAGGAAAATTTACTGAAACCTCTCTGTTAAAAAAATATATGAAAAGAAAAAAACTCTGAAATGTGTGTTGTTTCCTCCTTCATCATAATGTGTTTAGAAAGCCATTTAATAGCCATAAATGTTTGAGCAGTCAAACACAAATGAACATGATTGATGGTGACATTGTACATGTTTAACTCATTATGTGTTGCTTTACAGCAAAATGGTTTGTGTAAACAGTCTGCCCAGTATTAAAGCTAAAGTAAACTAAGAAACCTCAAAATATTATTTTTGTGTCTTATATTTTCCTTTTGGTTTTAGAGATGTAATCTCACATGGAATCTTCTATGTTCTTTTTTGGCATGGAGCTGAATAAAAAGAAAATTAGCTCAAAAAGAATGTGTGATACAGTTTTAACAAAAAGGTTCTGTAAACATTTAAAGGAAAGAAGATTGTCCAGCAAATCTTGAGGGAAAAATGTAGATGATGTTTACAACTGTAAACTGTATTTCAATAATCTATTCATAGCAGAAAGTGCTATTGTTGTATGAATAAAGAAGTTGTGATTCTTTAAAATTTGGAATGTGGTGCTTGAGTGTAACACAGGTTCATAAAATGAGTAGGTTTTTGTGTAAGCATCATTCGAGGTCTGAAAAATGATCTAGAGCAGTTTCAGTTCTTCTTTCAGCTATTTTGACAGCAGGAATGTGGGCTCTTTTATCAACTGTGCTCACACTCACATATATGTAATTCTCCCACTACATTTCTTTCTAATCTAGCCTGAGAGATGGACATATTGAAACTGCACAGATTTATGGCAGCCAGGTGCTTACATGCACTGATGGAATATGTTAACTGACTTTGTATTTATTTTTGGCCACCTAGGCAGCAATAGGTTGTTCTGAAGTGTGAGTGTGGTTTTTGCTTGGTGAATTTCTTCTATGGAAAGAGAGCTTGAAGATGGGGGGGGGGGGGGGGGGTGAAGAGCAACTTGTTTTTATTTTGTGAAGCTCCTCAGGGGGCTGCATAATCAACAGAGTACTTGGTAATTAACATTTTTCTTCCTTTGCCAACTACTTCTTCCAGGCTTTAGGCCAAATACTAATGTAGCCTGTTTTCAAAAACATTTATTCTTTAAAAGGCCTGCCTGAATAGAATCTTTTTAATCATTTAATATAGCAACTAAAAACTGCTGTGGTTGAGAACTGTGTGCTGATTAGAAATAATGTCAGTCCTTGGGGAAAAAGTAATATATTTGTCCTGGACTGAAGTCTACCACAGAGTGTGTTTTTCAGTCAGCTGTTTAAAGACATCAAAACCAATCTGCCTTTTACATTGTGATTGGATAGAAATACTATTCTGTTTTTTAAATTTCAGCGTTATTTTTTAATAGTACAATTCCTATAGTTTTGAATCTAAACCCAATTGAAGCCAGGCATCCAAGGAGATTCCCAAGATATCTGAAGAATTGCATCTCATAGTATTCAAGAATACTGTCTTTTTTTTCTTTTAACTACTACAATATTCTACATTATCATGAGCAATGAAAAAGCACATAGATCTCTCATTTGAAACTAAAGCCAATCTGAATTAGTTATATGGTATTCTATAAAACAACAATTTTGGAAAATGTTCTTGCACACAGGAAGAACTGTGAAAATAGTTGGCTGAGGTTGAAGAATTCTTATTACACTTACAAGTGCTGAAGAGCACTTGTTACTTTTGAGTTAGGGAATCAATGGAATTGAATAAAGGGATAGTTGAAAATTTATAATATTTAAGAAAATCAGATTATAAGACTGTAAACCCCAGAAGCGTGCAAAGAAATTAGGAACTGGTTTCAGCCTTCTACATATCTGTCAGATTTCAATACCAATGTCTAAATGTACAGTAAAACCAAACACTTGCACAAGCAATTTCCGTGGACTGAAAGGCATTATGGGTGAAGATGGGGAAATGTTTGATTTCACAAGTTCATTTCAGCTACCATTCAAGAATAATCCATTCTTATTTGCCCTTTCCTCTCATGTATGTAGTTGGGAAAACAAACAAACAGAGAAGTCCACCAGAAACAATGCTGTGGAGAATAGAATTATAAAATTAAACTTCAGTAGATCCTTAAGTCTGAGTTTAATGGGTGGCAATATTCTTGGGTTATATGGACATAGAAGAAAGTATATCATAGAAGAATGCATACCATTTTTTAAACTTCAGTTTTAAAATCTTAACTTTAATTTCAAAATCCTACCAAAATATTTTTTTCTGTTCTTTTGATAAAAAGAGTAGGCTGAAGAAAATTACATTAGATTTGCTGAACTCTGCAGGTTTGAATTATAAGCACACAAGGTATATAAGCATTACATGTCAAAACCAAAGCAGATACATTGAATAACTGAATCAACAAGAAACAGTAGGGATCTGTACCTGATTAAATTAAAAAGGATATATTTTTTCTCCTTACTGATCTTTAAGGATAAGTGAAATTAATTGTTATTAGAAGTTATATAGGGAAGATGCCATGGGTCTGAGGCAGATAAAATAGAGCAATATTTTCTTCATTAGTAATGTTCTATAGCATCTCATATATCAATGATTCTTAAAATTCATTTATTAGTATTTCACAGTAACATAAAAGAAAGTATCTTCAACATTGTAATGAATTCATGAAGGTAAATGTAATGCTAACCAGTATCTATGAATCTTGATCACTGCTTTGTAAATGAATTTTGTCATTTTCCAGTCCTTTTGTTGATTCTTGGCTAAGAATGTGCTTGTTACTTTATTTAATCTGCAGCTTCTTCCTCCAAATTGAAACCTTTCTTTAAGGTTGCTTAAAGAAAAGAAAGCCAGGGAAGAAACTAGAAATGAGAAATTGAGTGGAAAACAGCCTTACTCTTATTTTCTTTATGCCATCTTTATGCTTTTTTTCTCCTTGCACATTTTTTCCAACCCCAGCTGGTGTCAATGTAAGAAAAAGCCATGAAATAGAGCATAAGTAACAAACATATTGCTATCATTACTGTTTTTTACCCAGTCTGCACTTTATCTGTTTTCTGTATATAAAGAGCTGCTGATCAGCAACATTTGCAAGTTTCATATAAATAAACGAGTTATAAAAAATGTGATATGATTTCTCTGTGTGTGGTGGAGAATAACACAATGCAAATCTTTTCTAGCATCCCACATGGTCTCTGAATGGTGAAACAATGTATATGGAAAAAATTTCTCTTGATTGTTCGCAGCCCACATGTCAGGGAGGAAATGATTTGAATCCTTTCCATATTGCAATTTGTTCTTGCAGTTTTGTTTTTTTTTTTTTACTTCTCCAGAACTGAAGTAACTTCTTACCTGGCAGCCTATTATCAGAAAAAATAAAATAAAGTAAAATAAAATAAATAAAGTAAAATAAAATAAAATAAAATATAAAATAAAGAATTGTATTTAATATTTCACTGACTTCTTTAGAAGTTTGCTATCCTTTTTCTTTTAAATATTCCTTTGAAAGAGTGATTTTTTAATTTTTAATTTTATTTTTTAATGACATAGCAGGAGGAAAAGACTGGTGAATCCAAAATTTAAACTAAGTATGTAGGACAAAACATATATAAAATACTACACAAATCATGTTTAAAATGGCTGTTGCAGTATATTTTTAATACTGAAAAAAAAAAAAAAACAACCCACAATTATTATGTCACACCAAATTCACCAAAATCTGACTCGTTTTCTTTCAACAATAAAATATGTCTGAATTTGGCAGTAAAGCTTTTCTTCAGTTTCTGTTCTAAAACACTTATGACTGTTGAAACCATTTCAATATGTCTACTTCTCATTGTTTCCTGCTAGCTAGAGATGCAGAAAATAAATTTTCAGAACTTTTAATGATGTTTTTTTGTGTGTTTGTGTGTGCTAGCCAAGTTCTGAACAAGGTGAAAGCAATTGAAAAGTAGCAATATAATGCAACCATTTCACTAGAGAATTTTCAGAAAAAGAAAATAGATGTTTTTCCTCAAGCTCTCCATTTCCTTATTTCATGTCATGCTAAATGTTCCTGACAATAATCAAGTGATTCATTTTTACATAGTATGTTTGATTGACTGTTCTTTTTCTTGGCAATATTGTCAAAATACTTGAGTGACATACCAACATATTTACTTAAAAATGTATACTTGTTTAAAAAGTTGTTCATAATTTTAAATGAAGTTTTCATTTTATTTAGATCTCTGTATCTATTTTTTTGTTTGTTTGTTTCATTTTTTAGATTGAGGAGGATACGTGGCAGAAATACTATCTGGAAGGAGTTGCAAATGAAATGTATACAGAATATCTGTCTAGTGCCTTTGTGGGTTTGTCCTTCCCTGCAGTTTGTGAGTAAGTAGAAATACATACTATTAAGCATAATTATTTACATGCTTTCAAGTGAAATCAGAGATTTCTACAGGAGACGTCACTTTGCTACAGTCATAATGTTGCTACATCAGATGAAATCAAACAAAGTAAACATTAAAATAATCACAGCATGGAAGTATTCCAAACATTATAATGCTGCTTTCTTATGAGATTTGGAATTAAGTGATTGTAAATGAAACCATAAATGTTTTCAGTGTTGGACAAATTAATCAGCAATCCATTCTTCTGTTGTTTCTTTTAATGAATCCCATTCTTTGAGCAGTGTTTGTCAGCATCACTGTCTTGGCTTATGTCCCATTCCAAGAAAACCATTCATTAATTGAGACAGATTTAGTGCAGTCATATAAGTAGTGTGGTGTCCAGAGCTTTGTAGCACTGGTTGCAATCAAACATGTAGTATATAACCATGGTCTAAGCCATACTACTGTTTTAATTTTTGAGACTGAAAATACTTACATTTGTCTTACATTTTTTGTGTGAAAGACACAATTGTACGCGTAAGGTTGTTCCAGTACATACCATAGCCACAAGTATAGGACAGTTTAGCACAGTCATATTTTCACATCTATTTAATTAAAAGGTAAAATATTAGAGATATGAACTCTGCATTTGTCCAACATATTGTTGCATATTGTTGCAATTTTTATACATCATCTATATTTCAATGTGGTATATTTTTATAACAGTGCTTGTCACAGAAATAGATTTCACTTTTGTGTCAAGCTACTAAAACATAGGCAAGGCTCAACATTTGTCTGCATTCTCTCTCAGCTCCAAAACAGATTATTTCTTTTGTGAGCGTATTCAAAGAAGTAGCACTTTCTAGTCTGATGCCAGATTAAGCCCCTGTCTATTGCAGAGTAAGACATCATGAATTCTCTGTCAGTGTTAAGTTCTTGCTTCTATATATGAATTGTTTTATTCAACTCATCTGAGAGGCACTTTTAGACTGTTAGGACTTAATCAACACATCATATGCTCACTACAGTTTTTTGCCTCTCTGAAGCAGTGATATTGGATCAGTCTATAGCAGTTTTGTTTTTTTTCCCTGAACTCTGAATTTTATTCAGTGTTGCAGACATGTCGGATTCTATACCCCACAAACTTGAGCTCAGCTCAGCTAACAGCTAAGTCAGACTCTGTCCTGACATTCCTCTAAATAAAGTTTTCTCATCTTCTGTCTGTGAGTAAAATCAGATTTCATCTGAATCTGCCAGAGAAATCTCCTTATATTTTACATTTTGCTTCGAGCTCTCTCAGAAACTTTCCTTTGTCCCATCCCTGCAAGAGGCCAGCCATCCCCTCTGTCCCTCATTCAGCCAACATGTACATGCTAAATAGTCTCCTTAGACACACTTGTGAGACAGCAAGAGCCAGCATGTGAAAACAGAGGTTGTAAGTCTTATTGTGCTCCCTAATGCCATGTCAGCTGTCCAGTCAGAAATATGAAAAGGCTGCTTCAGTAAAGGTCAGCACACAGTAAACTTCAGTAAACTCCACACAGTTCTTTATTTCTTGTGTTTAAGTTACAGAGGTTTATGTTTCCATTATAATTATACTATAATTGAAAGGTGCATGGAAGAATGCATGACCAATTTCATAGAATAGGAAGCAAGTAGCATGAAATTTGCATGTATTTCAATGATAACATTGTAAAATCACTGGTTTCTGGTTATTAAAAAAACATTGAGGGTTTCTTTGATTGCTCTCACAGTAGTTGTCAGCTTCAAACAAGTGTTGCTGTACTAACTCCACTCTCCAAGTTTATAAAGAATATTATAGTTGTTTTAGTAAGTTGCTACTAACAACTAAAAAAAAAAGTGTATTAATGTATCAGCATGCATTTTCCCATGTGCTGGTCAGAAATAGCTTTCAGTTATGCTGTTTCTCTGTCATAGAAATTGATAAATGCTGACATACTGTTAGTGTACTCCTGCTTTTGGCCAGTATATATACACGTTTTGTGCACTGCAATCAAAATATGACTAAATTTTAGCAAAGATTTGAGAAATTTCCTCAAGACATCCACTGCTATAGTCAAATGCAATTTTATGTTTTGAATTATGACAGTTGTTATTATATCTTAAGTAGATCTAGTAATGTAGTAGTGCTGCTTAGAATGTGTTCTCAAGTTGTCAGTTTATAGTACTTATGAAGAAGCATTTATTATCTTCAAAACAGAAAGACTTTAATATATGAGCTATATATGTTACTGAAGACTGGGTAAACATCTGAATGAGTGCAAATTATCAGCCATGTCTATTTATACAATGTTAGTTGTGAAAAAGGTCTGACTCTTGACCTCTTGTCTTCCTGCAGACTGGTGTTTGCGAAACTAAAGCTCTTAATGATAGCCATAGAATACAAGTCGGAAAAAAGAGAAAGCAGGTACGTCCAAGACTACAAATTCTGAAGTAGGAATGCACTGTCAAGAATTTTGCCTGCTTATTTGAGAATAAACATAGATGTCCTTATACGTTTGATAACGTTTCAGAGTATAATTGTCATGCCATCGCATTACACCATTTTATGTAGCGCTAAAAGGCTTTTATTTCTGCTCTGTTTTTTCCTCACCCAAATCAATTTAAGTTATAATACTTAGTGTAAGGTAGGGATACAGTGTTATGTGTCCACTTCCAGAAGTGCAATTCATTTTTATTTAAACAAAAACATACCTTGCTCAGTGTTTTTTGTTTATACTCTGTCAGCTTTAAGTGACAGTCCAACAGTCCAACAATTTACTGTAAATAGAAAAGTGGAAAGCAGGTGTGGTATCACTAGTAATTATGGTAATGTTTATTTCTCAAAATAAACATTTGTAAAATAATTTAATATAAATCAGTTTGGAAGAGCCAGTCTTCATAGGATACAGGATATATGGAAATATAGAATAAACATTTATATGGTATCAGTTACGACAAAGGATTTATATATGAACACCATCAGGTAACTCAAAGTTACACTTAGTTTTGAAATTGCCAACTGATTGACACCTTTTTTATCTGAAAATAAATTTCCTGATCATAAATCACTATAAATTCATGGACAGAAAGTGTTTCTTCTTTTTGTACAAAAATTCTGCATGTGCTCTGTGACATGCGGAGGGGCGTATAACAAAAATCTGGTAATTCTGACTTTGATCTGAATTTTGTTTTCTCTGTCAAAAGTGACATTTGTAAGTGTTACAGTAAATCTGGAGTTACATCTACGACAAAATAATATTTTTACTGCCACCAATTACCTAAACCTTTGAGGGCAATTGTTTCTCCTCCAAGGAGAATCAATTCTATTATTTGAGCTCCTGCCATGATTCCTGAGGTTTTGAAAGTATATTCCTTTATAAATGCCTATATAAAAGCTATGTGGGACACTTGACACAGAAATCAATTATTGCAACTACTAATGACAGTATTTCCATGGCCTATACTTGATTTTGCTTGATTCCTTCCTGTGGGGTAAGTGATATATGAGGTGGTGTGTGTGATACTGGATTTTACTTTTGTCCACGTTATGTTAGTTAAGAAATTGATTTTTTTTTTTCGCAATAACAGATTTTTTTAATGTTTCCAGCTCATCTGGGCTTATCTTAAAATAAATACTTTTCCATTAGATTACTAAATTCTGCATTTGCTAATGTAAAGTAAATGTAATGTAAAAATATTTTTCCTAAAAGTTTAATCTAAATTTTGTAGGGGAAAAAAAAAGAAAAAAAGAAAAAAAGAATGCATTAGTAACAGCAGTGGTACATTAACATATTTTGTGATTACAATATTTGGAAAATACTTGGTTTCCTTTGGCTCTCTCTGACAACTATTGCCCAACTTTAGGTTGTCATTACTTTGCATGTCATTTAGTTACATAAGTGCTAATATTGCAGTCTTTTTCGATAATAACAGATAACTCATGGCTTCCATATCATTATTTGAACTAACTTCAATGGAAGTTGGTTTGAGTTCTTAATCACAAGGTGATGCAGAGGGTCCCACAAAAAGTAAAACAGTGTGATCCAATCATATATTTCCAGTTACTCAAGTCCACAGAGGTACAAGTTCACAGTGAATTAGTTTGGTAGAAAAGAAACTGCATTAAGCTATACTAATGAAGGGATGTTAACAGTTGAATTTTACAAACATATATAACGGAAAGAAAGCAGGTAAACTAAGTAGTCATATCATTTTATTGACCATGATCCACAGTAGTAACTTCTGACTTTAGTAAGCAGTGATAATTTTATAGTCACTCTTTGGAGAATCGAACTGCTACCTGCAGGATAATTTTACTGTTCTACTTGTCCCTGTGTTCTTCAACACATGTGTTGAGTACATATTTCTGACTTTTATGCACTAGAGCCTCTTAATCTAATCAGAAATGTAATATAGCAAACCTTTTTCTCACTTCTTATGTTTATTTACATTTCCTTGCATTCTTAAATGATGAAGAATTAAGATAAAAAGTAGGATAACATGGTTTACAAGTGAAAATGGTCTTTGAACATGATAAATTTATCATTTACCAATTATTTTTGTTGATTGTCTTTGGACATACTTTACCCTACTTCACATCTTCATTTCTTCATTGATAATCTATAAATGTGAATAGAAAATTAATTATGTTAACATTCATTCTGTCAGGAGGGTGATCAACAGGAGATATGTACTCGTACATTTTATGATTACAGTTTGGATTCATATTTTTAAAAAATACTGAGAAATTTACATAGTTCACAACAATAATTACTACAAATGAAAGACTGCAATAGTATCAAGGTGGTACCTTTGTAGAAAAAGCTATTTTCTGCTACAGCTGAAGTAGGTATAGGATAAGAGAAGTTTCAAATCATTCCTTCTGCCAACTCAATGAGAAGATCTTACACCACTTTGATTTTTGTGACTAGTTTTAAGGCATAATATTACTATAATATTGTACATATATAATATGTATAGTATATTGAGGTAAACTATATATCTGATCAGTTTCATCTGCTTTCATCGCTTTGCAATGACTGCTAAAGCAACCACAAAGTGAATTGTGAAATGTGTGCAGCTCTCACAAGTGGTAATTTAAGGTCATTATATACTTTCTAATTCCCTGTTAAAACATTCACCTCAGTGTTAAGAAAAACATCGCACTATCATTTTGAGTGGGTGACAGAATTTTCACTGACTATTTTAGTATCTTCTTTAGTTCTTTTAAAGTTTTTTCACTTTTGAAGTTATGATGTTTTTGTTTTATTATTTTTTGCAGCCAGTCTCCTTGATTCTGGCTTTCTAAAACTTTATGCTAATTCTACCATAGGGAATTTGAGATCAATAGTCATTTGAAATCATCAGAAATCTATCCAAGTCAATATTAGTATGCCAGCTAGCACTAGCTGAGCTTCCTGCTCAATTTTTTATCATTTTTTCCTACAATTCCTACTAAAGCTACAGAAAGACGTATTAGATTGTTCATTGTAAACAAGTTATGATTTTAAAAGATTGCTTAAAACCAGAATGTGAAAGTGCTCTGAAGTAAAATGAGCTTTGCAAGCCCTGATACAGGTAACGTATTCTTAGATACAATAAATATGGAGTCAAATAATAGTCAAAATATGGCCTAATTTTTATTTATACAATTGTTTCTCATCAGGGCACTTAAAAGATTAATTATAGCTATACTTAAATTTATTTAGATCTACATTTATATAATTAATAATATTTGAATTACTGCTCAGTTATCACAGAAACCTTTCAATGTACAAAATGTGACTGACTTTAGAGGGTTTCTGACCAGCTACTGAGGTCTGCACTTGAGTTGTTCCGTATCACAGTATGAGACATTCCTCCATCATTAATATTATAACTTCCTTCATCTCTGCAAGTATTATAGTCATTGTTATTAAGAAAAAGCATTTTGTTAGTAAATTGTTTATATACCTGGTGAAAGCCAAATAGTTTAAATAATGTTCTTAGTTCCTTTACTGGAAGGTTTTATTTCACCTGTAGAAAAATATGCTGAAGGAATATGGGGAACATCAACCTGAGTGTGTCCTAGCAGAGTTTACTCAATGGATAGCAAAAAATATCAATTTTAAATGCAGACGTTCAAACTCCTCGTCTAAAATTCCTTTTAGTGATATTTTTTGCTTCATTTTTCCTTGTCTTTTTTTTCCACATAAGCAAGAAGGAAAACCTAACCTGGATTCTTCCCTTTTTGCACCTTCTGTTTACTCCTTTTGTTAAATTTTCTCTTTGTCGGTCCATATATTTGTCCTCATTCTCAGCGGAAAAACCTTTGAGCCTTTGAGACTTTTATATAAAGGTTTTTTTTGCTTTTGCTTTGATGTCAGTTGATTTCCTATCAAAGTGTTTGATTTGCAATTTTTTTCTTGTCGTTTGCAGAAGCCGAAAGCGGTATGCCCTCTTCGTTACCTTTCCTTCCAACCTCAATCCTACCTCCACTCCTTCTAACTTCAGGACTAATTCCTTGCCAAGAACACAGGAAGATAACAACTTTGTCTATCTTTCTCTGTATATGCACACATATATATACATATATATATTCATCTGTCTATGTGTGTATATATATATATATCTATATGTGTGTATATTTATATATGAGCCCCCAATCTCAAAAAGGAGACAGGAATAGCATTTTGTCTCTCTGTTGGTTCTTGTGACTCATGCACTAACTTCTTTGCAGGAAATATAAAATACGACAGTATATGTTTTAGGCTTTTATCTTTGTCCCCTTAAGGAATCATTGGTGTATTAGACTGCTACATTTGAAAAATAGACTTTACTGTTAACACCTCCTGTTGTCTTTTTTTCATTTGTACTGTATCATGACGATGTAGTTTTCGTCTTTACCAGCCCTTGTGCTGACAATCGTCTCCATATTCATAAGTTCATTGATGTCCTTCTTCCCCTAGTCTTCCTTCAAAACACGTCTGAGAGTACAGTGGTTCATTTTCTCTTGTAGTCTCACCTTCCATTAACAACAACCTAATGCCTGATTCTTTGCATTTTGAGCCCAGTTAATCGTAATACAGTACTCATTAAATTTGTTGTACTGTTCCAGTCAAAGTACCATGGATATTTTGTGCTGTACATCACATTCATTTTAATGACATTTATTAAGATTATTTACAAATATATTACTCAATTTTTTTCTAAGATTTTTTTTGGGGGTATGGCATGTGTATCATTTTCTTTTACTACACCATGCTGAGAGTCCTTCTCTATTCAACATTCTATCGTGCTGCTACTGGTTTTAATGGAATCAAGAAGGCATGCTTTTCCATATCTTCTCATCTCCTCTCCTCCTTCTCTTCTCATCTTTTTTTCCATCACTCCCATTTGTTTTTCTAATTGCTTAGAGCAATCTGTTGGTTTTGCTTTTCAGGGACCCATTCTCATTTTTCAGACATTTTAATTTCTTTCATCCTATTCCCTAAAGTTTACTTTCCATGTCTGTTTTGTTGCGTGTGCTGTGTGTTATGTTTAATTTTTAGTCTTATTCTCCTGTGGTTTCTAAGTAGATGTGTGAAAAGAGAGGTGGCTTCCTGTCAGTTTGGCATTATTGATATGATCCAACTGCAGAGAAGTTACTGCAACACTTAGCATCTTCAAGGATCTGCAGTTGTTGCACCTCTACTTCGCTTCTTGCTTTTAAGTATATATTATCTTGTGGTTAAGGCATGTGAACGCTGGCATGATGAACAATATGAAGAAGTATTGTACAAAGTAAAGTTGCTTGCTCCCAGAATAAACTGTATTGTGCTGCTTCATTGTATTGATAATAAATGACTTCTGGAACCAGAAGGAATAACTTAATTATTTAAATTACACTGAACTTACCAGCACCATTGAACAATTTTGGATTATGCCCCAGTAAAAACACCTTACATCTATGATGTAGTAGACACTATTGTGAAGGACTTAACTCCTGGGAGCAACCTTTTTCTGTATGCTTGTAGTAATTAAAGTTAATATACTGTAGCATGTAATGTGCCGTGTCTTTTGCCTTGTATGCTTTTTAGTGTCTTACTGGATTTTTCTGTGTAGAACAATATGAATCTGAATTAATGTCAATGATAGACCCCAGAAGAAAGAAGCAATACTCACGAGTTACATGCAGTGTGAAGCTGGTATGCACACAACTCCCTCTATGGGATTTGTGCACCTACCCTCACACTCCACATAGAATCATTCACAGAAAATACACATCACCTAAGGCTAATTTTGTAATTTTAAGTCTGTAGTGTGAATAACATGGCACAGTTTAGAAGGCCATTAGGCTAATAATGGTACATTTCATCTGGGCGTGGCATGGAACAAGAAAAATAGCTGTCTTTATTTAACAGTGTGATAGCTTTATTCAGTAATATCAAATAGTCTTGTTTTAGTTACTCTATTAATAACAATGAGTCATTATTTATATTTCTGAATTTAATATATGATATTTTTACTATTTTAGTCATGTGGGGAATGGTACAGTACATCTACCACAAGGTTTAAAAATAAGTTTTTACAGATTTTGTCATTTCTTTAGTCAAAATTTTGCCATTTTTGTTTCATTTAATTCAACAATTGATTTTTTCCTTTTCCTTTTTCCTTTTTTTCTTTTTCCTTTTTTTTCTCTTTTCTTTTTTGTTTTTTTTTTTTTCTTTTTTCCTTTTTTTAACATAAAAATAGCATTTAAAAGGGTATCTGCAAATCAGAAAAAAAAAAAAAAAACAAGGAAATGCCACTCAATCAGACAGGTTTCCTTGATGAATGGATTAGTTGTTCAATTGATCCCTGATGCTGGCATTCATCTCACCTATCTTTATCAGTGTAGACCTAATTAATTCCTTTTAGTTATTTAGACTTCAGTTCTTGAAAGCAGCTTCTATTCTAAAACAGATGAGGTGAATCCCATTCTCAGTGCTGTCTAAATTGTTATCCTGAAAGTAAGAACAAAAAGAGCAGTAAATAGCAGCAAGTTGCTGACAAGGGAAATTCCCAGTCTTGATAATGTATAAAAATGAGTCATTACTTTGTCATGTACTTATCTCCACAACTAGGGGAATATATATCTGTGCACATTTTCATGAACTGCTTTAACAGATATATGCATCTCTAAATAACTGAAGAATGCGTTCTTCTTGGTAGGCTTTAAAGCCTGTTTTATTTTTATTTGTTCCTTTTCCCCTCTATGATTAAGTCTTTTAATTCAAAACATTTCGCTTACTGTATATATTACTGTGTTTATCAGAGCATAACTTTAATTATGTTTCAACTATGGCACTCCAGTTCTAGAAATAATTCAATTGCTGCTTTAATAAGCAGCATATTTAATAAATCCATATATACTCAGTAGAAATTGCTCATGACTGTGATCTGGTTAAATACTAGTGTGTGCCTATAAAACAAAAGTATTTGGAGCCTTTCTTGTAGTTCATTGTCAGTACAGCAATGGAGCAAATTAATTTTTAATTTTGACCAAAGTCTTTGATGCTTGGGTCATACTGCATTAACTGCAATCACATCTATATTTTGTGGCTATAAATACAATGTATTTGTGCAAAAAGCTATAAATGACATAAAAGATCTGACAAAAAAAGTCTATACTGACCCACTGAATTGATTTCATGTGTCCCAGGAAACTTGGAGATCCAATAGCATGTTCACACTACATTTGCAACTTAAATCACTTCTGTTTTAAGATTATGTTCACTGCCTTTTCAAAGACCTGCTTATTACCTTGTCAAGCTTGAAGTTCTGGAGGTTCTGTCTATGTAAAGAAATGTGTTCATCTGTTTTCACTGAAAAGCTGTAATTAATGTTTTTACAATTAAGGGCAAAGAACGAAAGAGGGGGATAAGTGTTAGTCTGACAGAGCAGTACTCACTGGTACTTAAGAAATGTAGTCAAACCTAACTGCATTGTAAATGTTTGCATATTTTAGAAGGAACAGCTTACGAGAAACAAATGAGACTAGCTTCTGTAGACTTCTTAAAGCTAAATTATCATCAAAATGACAATAAAAATAAGGACACAGGAAGGAGTAAAAGCTTGAGACGTAACAGCAGGTAAATTTAAGGAGATGATGGACTATTTTGGCAGAACAACTTCAGATTGTTATTAGCAAAAAGATTGCCTCCTGGTTTTACCTGGGCTCATGGCTTTATATGATGGCAGCCTGCTAAGCTGTCCCTGGAACAGCCAGAAAGCTTTGACTTGATACATTGACTCAAGTGACAAAACTTTGTCCAAGAAATCTAAATTTTACAATATATTTGTGACTTCAGTGACTTATTTCATTTGAACAAATGATTTTTTGTTTTAGTTTTGTTTGATTATTCTGTTTTACTTTGTTTTCTGTCAGCTTTATTTCATTTTAAAACCTGGGAAATTGCATTTAAAAAACCAAAACAAAACATTAAATAAATGCTTTGTTTTGCAAGCAAAACCAGTAAGCCCAATAAACTGAGAAATGAAAAAGATGTGAACTTCAGCTGTGCAATCTTAATGCATATTCACTTACCTGTATGCATTATACGTAGACATCATTGAAATCATCACATTTTATTTTTTGCAATACTACTGAAATGTGCTGCGGAGCTGCTTTCTGCGGTGATGCACTCAAATTTTCTTTAGTTCTCTGCTTTTGAACTATTGCAAAGTTTGAAACTGTGAATGAAGGAAGAGGAAGGATATCTGAGTAAACACTTTATTTTAGAACTGGTTTCTGTTCCTGCCATAGGAAAACTGTGTGACAATTTAAACAAAACTTTTTACAGGTGATCTCTGAATACTTTGGGAACCAATCACTGAGCATTTCTACTTGCAGCAGAAGTCCCAAGAAACTGTATAAAGAGATATACAATGCTAAATATTAATAAAAATAAGTTGTAGGCATCCTAAATAAATAAATATTTTGCCTCATATTGACTCAATTGAGTCATTAGTAATTCATCTATAAAATGTAGTAATACTTTATCTTACTGTGATTTTCAAAGACCAAGTTTAAAAAAATGCAAACTGTTTTAATTTTATCAAGTCAAAGCTTAGTTACATTACACAATAGCAAAAGGTATTGGAAAATATATCTCTGTGTGCATGGATATATAGCTTTGTACTTTGCAAATTACCTTAGCTGATATCTAGAGTTAAACTTCAAGAAAATAAAACTATTTAATAAAGAGATATAGAATATCTCATTTCTTGATAGCAGTTCATAATTTCCTTCATCAGATTTAATTGAGGTTATTTTGTCAGTGCGGTTGGGTTATCTTTGTGCTTCTTTTGTTCCATGCCTACATAGTGTTTAAAATTTTTTAAAATTCATTTTATGTTTTTTCAGCTATCGTGACTGGTTGTCTTGTACCATTCCCCTTGAGTGTATGTGTGCATTTATTATTTTGAACAATAACATAGTATGTCCAGATTGGGGTCCCATTAACATTCCGTATCACTAGAAATTGGCAAAAATTTGCATAAAAGGGTTTATCTTCATGAGTGGCTTCTTTGTATTGTTATTGAGTGGTGGTTGGTTGTTCTTTTCACCATATCTTGAATTGACAGAGCAAGAGATCTAAAAACTCAGCTTCACACATCATGTTTCTGAGAGGCTTTGTTGATTTTGTATAATCCATACTTAATGCAAAAACATAAGAATACATATGTAAACAGTTAATGTGATTCTGGGAGAAGGCATGTGAATGTCTCAAAGTAAAGTTTTCGTAAAAATGATGGCATGTAAAAACTGTAATTTGATTGGAAATTGCAAGGAAAAATGGCTTAAAATTTCCTTGCAGCCTTTCATAACTAGTGGGTCCCCTATAGTAGAATAAAATAAACTAGTTTTGAACATTACGTTAAAAGTAATTAAAATTTATCATTTTGTTTTTGCTTTTGTTTCACTGAGCAGTATATTAATCAATCCTGGAAACCATGTCAAGATTCAAGAAGGTACCTTAGGATTCTTCATTGCAAGTGATGCCAAAGAAGTAAAAAGGTAATTCGTATATTTCTATCTTTAAATTTAAACATACAGTATTTAATTTTTTTTCCTTTAGTTGCAAACACATTCACTGATTTTCACTGTATTATGTTGAAAGATATTCACGGAAAACTGAGTTAAGAAACTAATGACATTACCTTTCCCTGAGATCATGCGTATAAATTTCTTAACTATAATTTTAAATGTCAAGTAAATAAAATGATTTTATAAGTATGTGAAGAAAATAAGAGGTTATTTTTCAGAATTTTACTAGAAAATGTAACATACTGATCTATTTTTTTTCTATAAATTAATTAGTGAAATTGCTCTGGGATAAATCTGGGTTGACAGTCTTGTCCAAGTTTAAGGTTTGAAATAGTTCTTATTTGTATGCAATCTATTAAATACTTGATTTGAGCAAACTAGTGTATTTATTTGCTAACTGCATTAGCAAATTAATATTTATGACCTTTTAATTTTTCTTTACTGTAACTATATATTCTATGTCCCCATAAAAATAAATACAAATAAAACGGTTTGAAATATATTGCAACCATTAAGGACAGCTTCACTGGTTCACTGTAGCTAGATGTACTATAGTTGCATTAGATTGATGAGAGTTTTATGTTTTTGTATTTAGTGCCAAACATATTTATTCTGGTTTGTTAGGGTATAAAATGCTTGAACGGAATAAAATAGCAATGTGAGAAAGTAGTGTTTGAAATAAATAATTCTTTTATGTCCCTTGAATTAATAATAATAATAAAAATATATAAATGATGACATTCACTTAGTCCTAAACTTATGTGAAAAGTAATATTTAAGTAATGCATGTTTGTTATAAGTGTATAAAGAATGTCAAAACATCACGATCATGAAATTGCTGAGAATTTGAAAGATATTTTTATTGAAACAGTTAATACAGTTTTTGTGTAGCCAAAGCACAAATAAGAGCACAGTAATACTTCTCTCATATGTCTAGCACTGACTTCAGAATATTTGCAACCAATATTGTGTCAGATACAATGCCTTTCAGCATACAGTTTTTTCTTCTCTTTTGCTTTCATCCATTTGAATATAGTCTTTGCACCTCTGTGATGTTGGTAGTTTTTTCATTTTATAGAGCATTTTACAATCTCCTATGAAATTATTTCAGACTTATTTCACATAAATTACCTGACATATGATTTATTTCACCAGTTGACTGCTAGTAATGTGGTTAGAAAGAATTTGCCTATCATTCGTCTATCATGTTTTATCTAATAACATGCTAAGATGGAATTCCCAGTTCTGCTTGACTTTTTGCAGAAAATTTTGTTTAGAACCTTGCCACATTCTGTTGCTGTTCTATGCAAAGCAAGTCATTATCAAATATGCTTCAACTAACAAAACCAATTATGAAAAGTGTTGACTATACTCTTTTGAGCTGTGAATCACTCAGAAAGAATGTTCTGAAGGTGAGGTCTTTGAGAAGAAAGTGAAAAGGATAATAAGTATAATATGATGAAAACAAGTAAGTCAAATGCCTGAAATTCAAATTATCATCGATTTTTAAAATATGCTAATGGCTAAATTTCAGGTATAGAATGATAGCTTACAGTGAATTTCTATTGAGATGCATGCAAAGGGAGAAGGTTGGAAAAGATATGTATGGAACTACCACATCTTGATTAGGATATGTACCAGCATTTCAGCAGGTTAAAAACTATGTTTACTTTTTTATGCCAGCAGGAATACTGGTGAACTGTAACTGTTTTGCTACAGGCCACCTATGTGATACTTGTGAAATATGTCACAATAGCCTTATGCAAAATATTGAATTGACAGGCACAATTAAACTCATCTGAGAGCAGTCAGATGCATATTTATTAAACTGGAATTTTATTTTGATACTTATGCAAAGTCAAATGTTTACTCTTTTCCCTTTACTTGGTTCTCTTTGTGTTTCAGCTATTGGTGAGTGTGTTAATACAATAGTAAATGTTAATAAGCAAGAATATCACATGGTAACCTAGATGGTTCAACTTTGTAATTACATGCTTTTCTTAGAAACGTTCATTTCTTATCTGTTCAAAAAGAGTATGATTCTGCTCTAACACCAAATATAAAAGACAAAAATTAATCTGAAGCAAGACTATATCTGCTCTTTCATTTATATATTCGTATATAAACTTTTTTTGTAGGTTTTGTAATTTGTAATTTTTTGTAGGTTTTCTCTTTTTTGGGGGGATAGGGGGTGGGGGAATGGGTTGTAGGGGGATAAAGCATACATCTGACATATTGTCACATCAATCACTTTACAATCTTTAATTTTAACTAAGATGCTTTCCAACTTGTGACCGGGCTGAAAAACTGGACCAGGGTGCTAGATGATGTTTCCAAAAGAAAATATCTGGTATATCTGATAGGAACAGAGAATTCATTAAATATGTATATACATAAATATGTATATACAATTTATATATATAATATATATATACACACACACACATTCTTGGCAAAATTCATTGGGTGCTCCATTTTTCTAAGACGAAAGACAACTGCAAGGATACACTGTCATAATTATCATCTGTTCTCCCAATTACGTTTCAAGTATATTAAAAGAAACACTAATTTGGAGTCTTATGTTTGAATGTCATGGTCTTGAAGCAAATATTTCCTACTTTAAATATCTAAATAGTTTCAAAGATTAAAGGAAATTAGCACTGGCATGTTTCATTAATGTGATACTGCCACAAGAAGAAATGTGGGACTAATTTCATTTGTATGTATTAAGAAATATGTCAGTTTTTCCATTCTGTCTCTTCAGGGCATTTTTTTACTGCAAGGCCTGCCATGATGACATCACAGATCCCAAAAGGATAAAAAAGTGTGGCTGCAAACGGCGTAAGTAATATTTCTATCACTCTCTTCTCTTTCTCATTAACTATTTAGTCTTGAAGAACAATTGTACACTCAGTTACATGTTTCACACAATGGTGAAGAAAAGTTAAAAAGTAAATTCATGGCAATATAAGTGCAATTTACATTTTGTAATTGTTCTTATTAAATTTCATACCATTTACACATGTTTCTTCAAAAAAAATCTATTAGGGTCCAAAGCTAACAAAACTTAAACAGTCCATCTACCTAGATATAATTATGGAAGTTTCTGAGTTAAAAATGAGCTAACAATGAAATTCTGCTCTCATGCTGAAATCCAGTAATTCCAATATTTTTCCGTAAAGAGCTTTTGTTTTCCTTGCTGAATACTATTCTGTACGAGAAGATCATAGAATCATAGAATGGGCTGGGTTGGAAAGGACCACACTGACCATCTAGTTGCAACCCCCCTGCTATTTGCAGGGTCCCCAACCACTAGACCAGGCTGCCCGGAGCCACATCCAGCTTTGCCTTGTGTGACTCCAGGGATAGGGCATTCACAACCTCCTTGGGCAACCTGTTCCAGTGCATCACCACCCTCTGTGCAAAGCACTTCCTCCTAATATCTAACCTAAACCGTAACTATTGAACTAAGCTATTACTGAAATAAATAATCAGTTCCTGGAGAAAGGGATTGTCTGGAAAAAATTAAAGATTGGTGCCTTTGACATATTCTTTCAATAGAAAAAATATCCATAGCTGAAATGCTAGCATTTGGCTGAGCTGCATTCTTAGGTCTGCTGTTTAAATTCTTTGGAAAATTGTGTGTAAAGAACTAATTGAGTTTGGAAATTGAGATCAGATTTTGCATTTCAACTTTTATAAATATATAGAAATTATTATTTCATTTAGATGCACTTTTTGAAGATATTTTGCAGGAACTGTGATAACCACATTTTAGACATAGTTGTGCTTGATCTACAAATATTTGTAATATTGAAATCAAAAGGATTTAGAGATCAGTCTCTCAATGGATGCACAAATATTTATGTGCATTCCATTCCATCTTGCTGTGGAGAAGCTGTCATTACAAACTGACTAGGTAAATTGAAACATCTCAAAAGAGTTTGATAGAACCTGTCCTACCAGTACTTTTAAGAGGAAAAAAATCTGCCATATTTATTCATTCAGTGAGCTTATTCATAGCATCATCATTTTACTGTTTTGGAAGAAGCCAATAAGGCTTCTAAGCTGGATCTTATCTAAAATTAAGGAACAGCCGAAATGGATGAATTCTATGGATTGAAAAAAAAAAAGAAAAAAAAAAAAAGGCATATGTCATGAGTTTTTAAGAAGTTCCTCTAAAAAAAATAAATAAATAAAACAAAACAAAAAAAACAACCCCCCAAAAAACAAACCAAACCACAGAACTGTGAAACAAAGTAGTGTAATTGAGAGAAAACAGCTGAGGCCTTGATGGAAAATGGAAATTTCTTCCCAGTAGTTTCAAGGAGAGTAAAGCACATGGAAAGCATGCCTGATGTGGAAGGAATGTATGTATTGCCTAACATATTGGAAAAAAAAATTGCCTAATATATTGTTCAAGAACAGTTTATCCATGTGAGAATGTGATCTTTGAACTGCTGCCAAAGCCAATGAGACTGCTGAGCAAGTTCTGGTAAAGCAAGTTTCAGATGCTGCAGGGTGACAGTAACTTCAAAAGCCAATCGCTTTTTTATTCTTCCCCTCCCCCCCCCCCCCAATTTACACAACACTTAAGAAGGAATATCTTACCTGTTCAATTCTTAACAAACAAAAAATAACATTTAATTGTATGCTCTTTTCTACTCCTTCATATTGTGTATGCTTTTCAAATGTGCTGTTTCAAAGAGAAAAATCTGAAAATTTGGTATTTAATGGGAGATGTTGCAAGAAGGTAGGAATCAGGAATTCGTGGTATACAGGGCAAAAGCATGAACAGTAACATAACCTCAGTACTAGGAAACCAGGGAGAAAAAATGGGGCATCCTGTGACCCTGTCAGGACAATAGATGCATTACCAACTACAGGGCCATGGAGAGAACTTCTATGTAAGGCAGTGTGGAATGTCCCAAAAGGGACAGTTGGTCCAACAGATGGAGATACTGCTCAGATGTAGAAAAAAAATAACGGATTTACTGAGGCTGAGGAAGGAGACTGTCAGAGCTGCTGCAGTGAGGACTAAGCACTAAGGAGAGAATCCTCTCAGTAAGGTGAAAAAGAAACAAAAGACAGCAAAATATTGGTTTTCCCTTTAATCGTCTCTCCTTTTTTTCCCATCTGACCTCCCCACCTCTACCACCACACATGCATATGGTTAGAGGCACTATAATAGTGAACAGCTTCCGCTTAACACAGGGTTCACAACTATTAGGAATAATGCAGTTTCTTTGCTTTTAAAGTTCTGTCAGTCAGCAAATAAATAAATAAATAAATAAATAATTTCAGCACTATTTTGGATCACTAATTCCAGTGACAGTCTCAAAATCCCTTTTATGGGACTGGGTATATGTTTTTAAAAGGTAAGTCTTAAGGTAAAGACCATTATTCACATTAAATGCCTTAGTTTTAGCTTATAAATCACCACTTTTGAAAATCTTGTGTTATCCATCTGCAAATTACACAAACGTTTGGGTCTTAAACTGCAAGCTAACCATAACAAAACATACACTAATAAATACTTTCTCCATTGAATTAGGAAACTGTCAACTGAACCATCAACAGTTAAGTTAACAACTTGATTTTTTAAGACAACAAAAATAATGATATGGAAATTTGTGGTCCTATATAGGTATATATATTTTAATTAGTGAGCAGCATAGCACTTTGTGACAGATGAATGTGGAAAACATGTAAGATGAAATGAAGGGGGCTGCTTGTAAATATTGACACTTTCAGGTGAATTGAATGTGGAAGATTATCTTTCTTTAAATTGAAATCTTACTTATTGTAGTTTTAAATAATGTAGCTTCCTGTGACACTGGAAGACCACATTTTTAGTAATACATCTGAGTTTGCACATCATTTTAGAACTATCTGTACATTCTGATACTGTTGGGGTCTAAACGTGAGTTTGACCTACATAGCTATTTGTCCAAACCTGTTAGGCCTAATATTAATAATTCAGAGAAGTTCAGTACATTTCTATGAGGCCACGGATAATTAATGTAACCTTGCTTTCCTTTCGCAGTTTCTGCCACCCTTCTTTCTCCTTACGTATCCCACTCCCTGAATAACATATGAATGCTGATGTCATGTCCAGATAAATGTTTGTGTGGAAATTTTATTCACAGATTGTTAACATGTTTTTTGAATGCTTTCAATCTTATTCCTATGTCATTTAACTGTAGATTTTTCAGCAAGGGGCCAAATACATGTATAAATTTATATAAAATGCAGCCATGTTGGGATGAAATCTCTGAACTGGATGACCTACTCCTCCTGTTTCTTTCATTCTGTGCAACAACTGTGGTCTAATTCTGTATATATTTTTTCCAGTGACAGTGCTTGCTGTGAACAATGGGGGTTGAAACCCAGAAGGGACATATCATGTGTACATTGATGTGTTTGAAGGAATTTCTTATAATCTATGATAATTGACAAACTTTCGATTTATTTTTCCTCTTGCTGCCTTGGAACACGGCCCCTACTATATTTTAACTGCACACTGATAGTGATCTATTGTGAGTAAAAATGGGTTCCCTGTAGCCCAGAGTACGGTCCAACCTGTCTTTCTCTAGCAGAAAAGTATTTTTGTTCAGTATTTGGTTATTTTCTTTATTTATGTTGCATGTAGCAGTGACGTCATACCCACAAGTTTCTCATCGTTTCCACCCACGGAGATTAGGGTGACGTTGAAGAAAATACAGCAGTTTTCCCCTCTTCCACTTTTTGCTCCTTTTTTCCACAATTTTGTCTTTTATCCCTATTTGAAAGGGAGATCTTGGCAGTGACATTTCTGAGAAATGATCCTAGAGATATTTCATGAGTTTTCAGAGCTATCGGTTAGGCTGGGGTAATTAGCACTATAGCATTGTTTGCCTGATTAAGCCAAATTCATTGACAGATCTGTGTTCAGGTTTTTTTTTTGTACTTGGTTTCCATTGCTTAGCTGACACAAGGGACAGAACAGCACTCTTCTACTGTCCTTATTTAACTCCTTTCTCCCCACTGTCAAAAACAAAGGTGTGTGGGGGGGGGAGAAAGCTGGACAATGAATTAAATACGTGTTTTACTTTGAATATGTTAGGATACAACTTTCATCAATAGCAAACAAGCTACAGTGATCATTTTCCCCAACTATAACAGTTTTGCTTTTTATGAAAATAATTACATGGGTAGAGCCAGACTGTCTTTTCAGGGCCTAAGCTGTAAAATTTTACATTGTTACTATTATATATAGAATATGAAGTTTATAGACCATTTCACATCAATCTAAATCTGACCACTTCAACGTGCTCAGAATCTGTGGAGGCTCTCACCAGCCACTTTTAGTATGTACAGCCAAGTTAATTTAAATAAACATTAAAAAAAGCATTTTGGACATGGAAAGAGTTAAACTTTCTAGAAAGACAACTATTAAAAATATACTGGTTGTATTGCAGTTTTAGAATAATAGGATTTGTTCTTTCAAACAGCAGGAGGGATCAAGCATTTCACAGATGTAATAAAGCATTCACTACTGCATCAGATTGAGGCTGGTAGCTATACCATACAACTGCAGCTATTCTAAATAAGTGAAACTAGAAGACTTTTCACCATTTCGCCAGACATTATGAATTTATTTTCTTATAACACTTCAGATCTGAATCCAGACTGTGCTATTTTTTCACCTCTCAGCTCTACACACCACAGGATCTTGCAAAGAATCCAGAAAAATTTGATACTCCTGGAGTTGCATGATATATTGTTAGCCATCTTGTAATTATGGTGGCCTGTGTGATAGTTAGCATTACTTTGTTCTTTTTTGTTTGCTTTGATGTCATTGCTACAGTAAAGGAATGAGATCTCTCCCCTCCTCACACTGTAGTAGAAATTATTTATACACAGAACAGAAATTTCTCAAAAAAGTTATTGTCTGCCAGTAGAATGACACAGCAGAAAGCTGGGAAACACACATACACAAACACGCAAAAACAAACAAACAAACAAACAAAAACCCCAACAGATTATCAAGGCAGGACAGCAGAGTAAGAGTTTACAAATCAGAAAGAAACTAATTTACTTGAATGAATGAATCTGTAGATGTAAAGGCAAAACACTGGAAGTAATTTGGATGCAATGTATTAATTTTAAATGCATTTTTGTATTGAGCCCTTTCTGGACCACACAAAGCAGTAGAAATAGCAATAAGCAAATAAAAGAGCTTTTTTTCCTAAAAAAAAAAAAAAAAAATTTTTTAAAAAGTATTTAAAAAAGCAATTGAAGAAATTGATAAGAATAAAAAAGTCAGATCTGTCTGCTCAGAAATGCAGCTCGCTTTGAGAGTATGCTGGCTGAGAGATTTTAACGTAATAAAGATAAGTTCACAGTGATATTTGAATATTAAAACAAATTGGTCTATAAATACAACATTACTTCTAGCTACTAAAGAGGGCAGAATGTCCTCTTTTTGTACAGTTTTGAGAAAGAACGGTGACATTATCACAAGCAACTGACAAATTATCTTTGATTGCAAAAAAAAAATTGCAAGATAATGAAAAAGCTGAGTTGGTGGTATTGAAGTTGTTCTTTAAAAATTAAATAATGAAGAGATAGCTTTGCCTGTTGTGTTAAGAGAAAATAAATTGTGAAAAATAATTTAAGAAATGCTGCTGTATTTTTCATAAAGTGATTGTGCTAAGGGAAATTCTTTGAAGATTTGTCTCTTGATGCTAACCAGCATCCTTACAAGTCATCAAATCAGTCTGGTCTTCCTTTAATACTGCTGTTTTTTTACTCTTAGTGTGGATAATGAGAACTTGCAGAATTGAAATGACACTGTACATACATTTCAATTCTTAAGTGTAGTGGAACCATTTTGGAACCATTTGCTGGTCAAGAAAGCTCCAGTTGATTCTTCTTAACCAGCTGTTGTTTCATAGAGAACCACTAGATGTCCTCCTAGATTTACTTTTTGTTACAAGGAAAATTGCTATACTGATGGGTGGAATATTAGAATTGAGTAGCCTGTACAGTTAAAAATAAAAAATAAAAAAAAAATAATAATAATCAGGAAAGATGAAGGGATACTTCGTTCTGCTTTATTTTTACTTATTATTTATTTTAACAAAGGAGCTGTTTCATGATATACTAAGAAGACAATGACCTGCAGCTTCCTTTGCTTATTTTTGCAACTGCAAATGTTTCCCACTACTGTTTGTGAACTCTAAGTTACACATCAGACCCAGACAATCTAGAAAAGTTGACTAGGCTCTTCTGAGTTTTTGAGATTGGAAAACAAGATATTCCTAGAAGTGTAGACATCTAAGCCATGTTTTTTTCCTTATTGGAATGATAGGACATTACCTTTTGAGAAAAAAAAGCAACAAAAAGTTTTTCATGTATTTCTTTGTTTTTATAAAAAACTAACAATTATTGATATTGTTTTGCTCTTAACAACTCCGAAAATTACTGTGATCCATATAGGCCTTGTTTTGTCAGTAAATCATTTAAGTAGTCTAATTTCTGTGTCCATGATTACTTCCCTTGATATTCTCACAAATGCTAGGGAATTGTGATCAATACTAAGTAGAAGGATCTATTCTTCCTTTTTATCCATTTGTTGTTCAATTGGAAATAGGGAAGTAATTTACTTTATATCCCTTTATACTATATAACTAGTATATATACTAGTTGCACATAACAGTTCTATTCAATCCCCGTAACATTTCTATGAATAGAAATGAGATGATTCTTATGCAGGTGCTACAGGTGTCAAATGAATTTAACAACCGGAGGCTGTTCTTAAGGTCCCCCTGTCTCTTTGATGGTATCCATTTTTCGTTAATTTTTATGGAAGTTTGATAGGAATGGTATGTGTGTGGCTTGATCCATTTGAAATCATTTCTGTCTTGTCTTTGATCTTGTCACTACTCATCCCTAACAATAATAACCCATGTTTTGTTTTATTTAAAAGAAAATAAATATTGTACTTGGTGTGAATGTTACAATGACTGTTTAAAATGAATGAAGAGTAACAGCATGTTTTTTTTTTTTACAAATGTATTGCTCTGATATGCAGTTGCTTATATACTGGTTGAAAGCCTTATGGCAAGTCATATCTGCTACTTATATTTCCAGGTCCAAGCCTGTTTCCTGCATGTTAATGATGTGAAATATTAAAATGATGCATGATCTCCAGAACAACTGACAATAATAGTTAAAAACAGTCCCTGAAAGGGCATTACTTTTGAGAAGTGCCATGGATTCCCTCCCCAATTGAACAGATGGGCTTAAAT